ACATTATTTTAGGGCTGGTTCTTTGGTTACGATTTTCTTGAATTTTTCAAATGTCTGTTCCTTGGTCTAGGACCATTCCGATACTGCATCATTATGAGTTAACAATCTCAAGCGTTCACAGAATCTGGAAGGATAGGAGTCAGAATTTCATCTTTCATGGAAAACGTAATACCCAGGAAACAAGATGTCTTCTCAGTGAATAAATCCAGAGTACATCTTCCTTCTTTGTATACTGAAACAGTCTTTTGTTTTTGTTCATGGGGAGATTCCCCTGTCTGTTTCAATGTTCCTTTTTGACCTTCCTAGAGGCTTTGATTGTTGGCATTTGTTTCTGATGGTTCTGAAAGTCATGGGATGGAGTAAGGCTAGACAAATGAGCTTTGCATTACATCACTGACTAACGAGAGCAAAGTGACAACTCCCTTTTGCTTGAATGGGCCACCATTCAGACATATTATCCTTTGGTAAATCACTTTTACCCCAAGTCCATAAAGTATATTTTCAAGATATATATATATATATATATATAAAGAGAGAGAGAGACAGAGACATTATCCCTTAAATATTATCCATATGTACCTCTCTTAATTATTATAATTCTTGATGGGTTATGAGCTTTCTGTAGATATCTTACATGTTGCATATCCTTCAAAGCATGTTCTTGGTAATGCGAGTTTGTTAGGTTTGAGGTGAGCGTTGCTTGCAAAGACAAAAAAAACCAAAAAACCCTTTGCCAAGTAGCTTCTGTCTCACAGTTAATATGTGCCAATTGTTGACAATGGGTAGTGACTCCTTGTCATGTTCTGTTAAGTGGTTTTGGATCAGTGCAGATCCTCAGTTTAGCTGAAGGTTTTCTTGCTGCTACTAAGTTGCTGATTCACTCGTCTAGTTTCAACATGTAGAATAAAGCCGCCTTTTTGCTAGCTTTTTTTCCAGTGGCTCCACAGAAGCTAACAGGACTCTATTTTTGTAATTTCTCAGCTTGCGCACTGGGTCTTTTTCTTTTCTCATATTGAGGATATTCTGGTGTTCTACTGTGATCTAATCAATGGCTTACATCGCCTTGTTGCCCAGAAATGTACTGATACGCCTATGTGATGAGTATTATAAGCTCCAAGGTAAAAAATTTCTTTTTTCATGGGTTTTTTGTCAACAGCCTCTCTTTTCCCATTGCACTGAGAATGGTTTGATTGTTCATCAGCAACATGTGGCCATGTTTTTCCAGTCTAACATTACTGCTTATTAGTGCTGCTTAGATTACATTGCAGTTAGCCTCCCAATTGAGCTGGAGTCAGATTGGTCATTGATTTGATAGCATAACTGTAAATATAGGTTTTGCTGTAGTCACACTGCAGATATGCTCCTCTTCACTGGAAATCTGAATATCCTCAACCACTGCATGATCTGCAGCTTTTGTTTTCCTGGAGTACCGTCAGTATTAGCATGTCCGGTGATTGTGTTTCCTATATCCCTTCCATCATTGCCCATGATCTGAGCATTTTCCTTTCTACCTTCCATGTTGCTTTATGAATGTACACTGATTTATGATTCATTTTCAATCTATTGATCTCCATCCTGCTTCCTAGATTGACCTCTGTAGTGATTGTCACTGTTTTTGATTCTTTATTTACACAGTTCAGCTGTCTTTGCTATTTGGATACATGTATCTTTTGTAGATTTGTTTCTCTTCACAATCTGTCCTGTAAACTAGTGTCACGTCCCAAAAATGATCCTGTCTGTAATTAAGGAATCCTTATGGCCCAATACATGTGGAGTCATTGTTCTCAACTCTGTAATGCAACCTTTTTTATTTCTTGGTTTCAGTTGAAAAAAGAAACCAGTATATCTCTACAGTCTCATTCTGTCTGGGATCATAAAACACCTTTATCAGCTGTTGCAGTGTTTCAATAATTGTTCCTGGCAGCAGTGTCTCATTCATGTCTCATCCTTTCCCCTCAGTCAGATAAGGGGGAGAAAAGGATTACCTTAATTTTCTTCTCTTCAATGTCAGCTCTGTATATTTACTTCATTCTTCCTTCCACTTCTTCCATGCTTGTGCATAGGGGACAAGTCCACTGACCAGGGGTGGAGAGGAGCGGGGGAGGGGCAAAGGAGGCAACTGCCCTTGCATCGGGGACAAGTCCACTGACCGGGGCGGAGAGGAGTGGGGGAGGGGCAAAGGAGGCAACTGTCCCAGGGCCTGATGATTCAGAGGGGCTGCTGTGGCATACCGGGTGGCTCTGAGGGCTGCTGGGAGATGCAGGGGCCACTGCACAGTACATTCCAGGCAGCACCCAGGGGAGGTGCTGCAGTCTGGGCAGTGCTCAGGGCTGGCTGCCCTCAGCTACACTGCACTTTCCACCTGAGGCCCTGCCCTATCCAGGAGCATGCAGCCATGTCCCTCTCCCCTCCCCACCCCGCTTCTCTCTCTCTCTCTCACTCACTCACTCACACTCTCTCTCTCTCTCTCTTACTTTGCCAAGGCCAGTTGAGTGTCGCTAGTTGCTCTCCCAAGAGGGGTAGGTTCTTTGTTTGTTGTCAGAGAATCTAGCATTGCCAGTTGTCTCAGTCCCTGTTTGCTTTGTTTCTAGGTGTTGCTTTTTTCCTCTTAACCACACTGTCTTCCTGGTTGTGGGCAATGATAGACTGAGTACGGCCACCATGTTTCATGTGTCATGCATTCCATACTAACATGAAACAAATGCATGTTTCTAATTGGACTCTGTGATGAGAACTATTTACAACCATGTTGTCCAACATGCTAGTTGCTAGCCACATGTGGCTATTTGGCCAGTTGAGTGTCGCTAGTTCACTATAGCAGTAGCCACTAGTATATTTCAAAATAACTCCCCTTATTTGTGAAGAGGGATAGCTTATTTCAAAATAACTATTTTGGAAATTATTTTGAAATAAATTATTTTGAAATAGTTCCCTAGTGTAGACATACCCTGTAGTGACTACTGCTTCAGAACTGGTTGGACATCATGGATTTACAGAGGTGGGACAACTGTAACATTCAAGCTACATGCAAACTGTCTGACTTCCTCCAAACTCTATCCCTCCTTTACCTTACACTCCTCCTTCCAAGTTGCATGCGGTTGTACATAAATTTCCAGTGTTGAAACTCTGCCCTCTATAATAGTTGAATGTGTAAACTGCTTTGAGTGTTTTTCTTCTGTATGGACAATACAGGGAGATTGAAGCAACATTAAGACATTTTTCACAGGAAGTTTCACTAAAAGAATGTACATTTTGTAATAAGACTGATTTTCCTCTGACCTGCATCTACTTTAGCTATTAAGACCAGGGCAAAGGAGTTATGAAATGTTAAGGGAGTGGAGAATTCTAAACTAGTTAGCTTTTTATGCCCATTTTGCAAGGCAATAAAATGACAAAACAATGCAGAAGAAAATCATCTTACTCCATTTCCACCTAATTCTACTTGTTATGGTTACAGTATTAGTAGTAGTAATGCACAAGATCCCCAGACATCAAGTACAATCAATGGAGGGTAACTTAATTAGTTAAAGCCACTGAAACATGAGACTAACAATGGAGAAGACATAACAGTAAAATTAGTCAGTCTGAGGAAAAACAATACACAGAACTGACTGAGAATCATATTTTATTTTTTATTAAATTAGTAACTTGGCCATTGTCATGTAGAAGTGAGTAGGGTCCACTAGGACAAGAGCTATTTCACTTCAGAACAAGCTGATCAGAATGATTTCTTTTGTCACACTACTAGATGTGACCGATGGTCCCAATGGATTGTTATGTTCTATGTGACTGGCTTCCTCTATCTCCCTGTGTGCACATGGGCATAGTTAGTGATTCTGTCTATTAGACCAACCAAGTAAACATTGTTTGCCTTTGGGAGCAAAAGAATGACACTGGTGGTGGACTCCAGTTGCTCCTTGTCATTTTTTTCCCATTTTGCTTTTTGAAGGTTTTTTATTTGTTTTGAGGAAAATAAAAACTTCACTGCCTATCAAAAGAGGTAATGTAAAGGGTTGTGTACACACTGTAGCACATGTGCAGAGTTGTATGAATTTTAAAATGTATTGAAGGGCTGTGCTATAACTTCCCATGAAATTGCACTATGTTAACGTGAATGAGATATTCTTTAAAGTGCACCAGTAGTATCTGCACCAGTGGCGGGCAATAACCAGCCCATGGACTGGATGTGGTTCACCCGGATTAGTATCTGGTGGACCTCCACCACAGGTATGGGTGCTTGCAGTTCCTGTTGGCCATGGATTGACATTCTCAGCCATGGAAGCTGCAGGAAGCGGTGTTCCAATCCATGCTGCTTCCCACCGCTCCCATTGCTGGTGAATAAAGATCCATGGCCTATGGGAGCTGCACTTGCCCATACCTGTGGGAGACACAGGTAAATAAAGTGGTGGCAGCCTACTAGGGGCTAAAACTGGTGAACTGCTGCCATCTTATTGCCCATCTTATTGCTCAGTTGTTACTGAGCTCTTACTAGTGTATTCATAGCTTATGTCAACTTGCTTGCTTATGCCAACCCACAAAGAAGAGGCTGCGAAGCCATGCAACAATGTTATAGACCATGGATATATCTACTCGAACACTGGAAAGTATAAACTCCTAGCTTAAGGAGAAAATACCAATGCCAGCTCTGATTGAGCTTTCATGCTAAAAATAGAATTGTATCAGGTAGAATGGCAGCGGGTTAGCTCCTCTGTGACATACTCTAAGTGGCTAGCCCCTATAGTTTGTACCACTATAAAAGTCATTGATCACTGAGAAAAACCTGAGGTGTTACATGGAGAAATTTAAAAGACTGTTTGTCCAGTTTGGAAAATAAAAAGTGATAGCAGAGTGAGAGTTAAAATATTAAATGTTATAGTAAACCTAATAAAGCACTTTTGTACATTTTGTACATCCTGACCTGTAATGCAAGAATGGTGTAGAAAAAATACACTAGTAAAAAAATGTAAAAAAGCAACGGATACATTTAAAGGTGAGGAAAATGCTTGTTTAATGCAAACACAGTAGTAGACATGTTGGATCTTTCTCTAGGATGCTATGGATGAGAATTGTAATAAATTTTGGGAAAAATGTTTGACATGCACACTAGAAATAACTTTTGCTTTTCTATTAGTTAGGTTACAAGTCTTCTTGCTTCAGGACATAAAGTAATTGACATCAGAGATTGAGAAGGAATTCCCCTGTCCCTCATGGTATAGTGTTGCATGGTAGGTCCAGCTACTCTAAGGGCTTTTCATCTTCCAGCAAAGTGTTGGTTGTAGGTCACTGCCAGAAGCAGGATAGCCGGTCTGTTCAGTAAGGCTGCTCTTTATGTTCCTAAGCAGATTTAATACAGAAGTATCATTAGGACTATAGACATAGCATCACAAAGTCATCCTTCAACAATTATGTTTTGTTGAGGATTTTTGTTTGTTTATATTTTTAGGTCCCTACTATGCAGTTTTTTTCTCACTAGGCTACTCCTGTTGCATTTGGGGTCAGAAACAACAACAATATCAACTAGTGTTAATATAGCGAGCAGCAACAATCACTAAGGGACAAACCCTTCCCCCATCTCTGTGGCTGCAGCACAAGATTCTTCGATAATAATTGCCCATGGTCTGACTAGTCATGAGTCTAACTGAGGAGGAACCAGAGAATCCCCTACAGTGCAGATTTTTTTTCTTTTCCCGCCCCCTTTCCCGCAAGGGGAAGCATTTGGAGCCTGAAGGAGGCACATCTGCATCTGATCCATGGGTTGAGGGTGAAGATTTCTTCCCTATTGCCGGAAGAACTTTTAGGACTTGTTTTTTTTATTGGATCTGAATCTGAATTTCTCCAAAGCACTTGTGCATAGGCCTCATCATAATACAAATTATGTCTATATTTGATTATAGGAAAAGGTTATGATACAAATAATTGCAATTGATAACACACACAATTCTTTATGGGTTTCACAATTTACACTGTCTCATTTTCCTGCCCTTCCTCCCGCCCTCCTCCCTCCCCCCTCAAAAAAAAGAAATTTCCAATTTGTTCTGTCCCAGAAGAAGCCTGTAGGAAAGGTCCAGAAGTTAATGGAAGCCATTTACACCATTAACATTAAGTATTATGCTTAAATCTTTTAAGCCTAAAATAAGAAAATGTGAAATTAATTAGCCTGGTCATAAATGTTTCCTATTTATTAAAAACAATATTGCAAACATATTTTTGTTTTTTCTGAACCAGGTAATTTTATATGTTATGTAAGGACTACTAAAGCTCTATTCTGAAGGGGGAAAGAGACTGAATTATTATTATTTTGGTGCTTATAATTCAACATGGAAGAAATGAATAGCCCTTATTCTGTAATTAATTTGTTAACATTGGTGGTGTAAAAGGATGCACAGAAAAATAATAATAATAAAAACATGTCCTATAATCACAATTAAGTTCCTCCTTTCTGATTTGAACTATGATCTGACTGTAGAAACAAAATATTACCTCTCCAGTGGTCATCCATGCGTTTGTTTGAATGACTTTGAAGGAAATATTAATTGCTTCATACACACACAGCAGCTACACATTTTTTAAAGAAGACTGTCACTGTTGGTATGTTGTAGCTTTTTCAGTAGATTATCACACTGCATTAAGGTTCAGAGGGGTATCTGAAAATGAAACAGTAGAATTATGCATTTGATTGAATTTCATAAGGAAATATTCAAGTTAGACTGTGACATTTTTTGAGTATATTATAGTAAATGCCGAATACTATATAACGTAAGAAGGAAATAATGACCCTATGAAAATAGTCATGAAGTGCTATTGAGTTGTCCCTTTGATTCTTGTTCATGTAGCTCTTTTAAACATTAATAGAAGTAATGCATGTGAGCTGAAGATAGAGGAAACTTCAGAATAATTGGAAATATATTCCTGATAATCTAATAGTCTGCTAGTGAGGAAGCTCCTACTACAGTATATATATAGTCTGATAGGGAGCATACTGCAGTGTCCTGCAGTTACTCTGGACTTATATTTTCAAGAGGGGTGGAGGAGAAAGGGTGTTTCCTATGGTACAGAAGTAACTGTGTAAGTGTGTCCTCAAGCTTCTTGATGTATTTTATCAGCACTTATTGGACAAAGTAGTACCAGACGCATAGTTGAAAATGGCTAACGTGATTCCAAATCATGGAACAAAATTTCTATTGTGTATATATATTGGCTATTTTCTTGGAGGATTTTTTTTTCTATATGTATATTTCTCTCTGGTGCAAATGGGCATGATTTCTAATGTGCTAATTTATACTCTTTCAGGTGCTGCTGGCATCTAACTCACCTAATCTTCATCCATTCAAGCACATGAACAAACTTGTTAGTTGGTATAGATTTGTTTTTCCAGACATCAGTATTTCAGATTTTCTCTGTTCTCACTGATTCAGTTGGGTCCACTTTCTGCAATGGTTTTCCAGGGACCTCAAGTCTCTCAGGGAATTTCTACACTGCAAAGTTAATTTGAAATAACAGCCATTATTTCGAATTAACTTTAATAGTATCTATACATGCAAACCACTATTTCAAAATTAATTCAAGTTCGGTAAACCTCATTCTATGAAGAGTAACACCAAATTTGAAATAGCTATTTCGAATTAAATGCTGTGTAGACACTTATTTCGAAATAGAAGGCCCCCAGCCCCTCCCAGGGAGCCCTGGTGGCCACTCTGGGCACAACCAGGAAAACTTACTCTTCTCTCCCCCAGCCCCAGAGCCCTTAAAGGGGTAGACTCTGACCACAGTGCTTGTGCCAGCTCTGAGCCTGCCAGCCTAGAGCCAGTAGTGGCCACTAGGGCCCCTGACCCAGTGGCCCCAAAACATGAGCCAGCAAGCCACTGGCAGCCAGCCCTCCACCATTCCCCAGGAGCAGTCTGCCAGCTCCCAGGAGCCTGACAGGGGCTGGAGAAGGCAGGTGCCTTCCTGGTCCAGGGTGGAGATCATGGACCTTATGCAGGTTGGCGGGGGATGTCCCCAACATCCATGATCTCCACACTAGATGGAGGAACGCGGACGTCTATGGCAGGATAGCTGCCAGCCTGGCCACCAAAGGCCACATGCGAACCCAGAAGCAGGTCTGCATGAAAATCAAGTTGGTCCAGCGAGACCCTCCCCAACCCTGAGCCTTGAGCTTCCCCTCCCCCTTCTTCCCATTGCTTCCCCCCTTCAGCTCCCTCCTCCCAGGTTTCCTCCTCCCCTCTCCCACCCTCTCTCTTCCTCTCTCCCACCTCCTTTTCCTAGTTTCCCCAGAAGTTCATTCCCCTCCCCCCCAGTTTTGTTCAATAAATCCAGTTTCTATTTTTGAACATACATGTCTTTTAGTTGACATCAGGAAGGGGGACTAGGAAGGGGTAAGTGGAAGGACATGAGGGAGGAATGGAACATGAGCCCCAGGTGGGGAGGACCAGGGAGGCTCTGAGGGCTCCTCGGGGTGGACGCTCTCCTTCAGGTCCTCCTGGATCTTGACAGCCCACTGATGGACCGGCCGGATGGCAGCCTGCAGCAAGTGCAGCCGGGCTGATGGCAACGACCCCACAAGATGCGCCAGCATGCCTAGGGGCAGCTCTGGCTCCATGTGGCTGAGTGCTGTGGTGTCCCGAGTGCGGGTACTCAGGGCACTCCAAGATAGGGATGCTTTGCTGTCCCTCATCGTGGTAGACAAGAAAGCAGGGAGCCCTGAGAACTGTCTGTCCGAGGTGGGGGTAGGTCCCTTTAAGCACGGAGCTCAGTTAGGCTCAGGCAGCAGCCCCACACACTAAGTCCTAACCTGATGCCCTGCCGGCACTGGTTCTGTCCAGCCTTAACTTCGGTTCAGGGTCCACTCTGTGTAGGCGTGCTATTTCGAAATAGCAAAACGCTATTTCAGAATAGATTTTGTGTGTAGATGTGTTAATTCGAATCAGCTTAATTCAAATTAACTATTTCAAATTAAGATAACTCAAATTAACGCTATAGTGTAAACGTACCCACAGCCCCTGGAATTCAATGTTTTTTTCCAAGAATGATGTGAATCCATTGACAGAAGTTTAAAAGTATTAGCCAGTTATTACAAAGTTTTGCCGTTGTGTTAGAAACACTTTTTAAAAAGGCAAGTGAGGGAGCAATAAACTATCTTTGAATCTGTTGACAAGCCAGACAAATATGTAGTTGGCCTCATAATTTTTTTGTCTAAAATTTAAATTTTTTTTAACCATTTAAATGTTAACCATTGCCAGAGTTAATTTTGATGGCAACTCCAAAAAAGCAATGCTGCCATTTGTAAATCTCTGATTTCTTACTTTTAACAAATGCTAAAGCACAGTTTTTTACTTTCCTCTACACCCACATGAGAAAAGTAGAGCAAGAGTTGCCTGCTAATGTCATCTGTAAGCAGTGAGTACATTAAAAGATGTGATTCACTATTTTTTGTGTCCATTAAGGTACAGCACACACTGAAATTAGTTTTGTGCAGTGGTTGCCATGATAGGATGTGAGCCACATTAGGCTACCAGTAAATATTGAGTAAGACTCAAGATAGCTTAGATTTTATAGCAAATACTATCGCTTTTCCTGGCCTTAGGCACTTTTGAACACACACTACATTTTTATTAAGTGAGAAAATTTTAATATAGTTCTTTCTTCTATGTAACAAACCCTTGGGAGCACTTAGAGGAAAATTTCACTTACATCACACCCCCTTTTACCAGCACAGTTGAGGCTGAATTACAGGCCATTATGTCTCAGCAAATGCAACTTGGCTTTTATTAGTTTGCTGTCATTAGTTAATACAACCTACAGTACTGTGCAATAGATATTATTCATTTTGGCCACATTCTACAAGACAATACCTACAACTTTATTTACAAGTCACAGCCCTCTTTCTGTGTTTCTTATTCAGTGAGTAACTGAGACAGTTTAGGTAAGAGATTCATAAGGACCCAATTGTGCCTTTGCCAGGAGCCTTAAGTGTGGGGTGCAGACTCTGATGCAATATCACAAGCATCCTCTGAAGCAGATTGTCATTCATTATGGGAGATAAACGGTATGGATAACCAGTGCAAGAGAGAGTGCAGGGGAAACTATAAACCTTTATTCATTATGGGAGATAAACGGTATGGGTAACCAGTGCAAGAGAGTGCAGGGGAAACTATAAACCTTCCTCCCTCTTACTTTCCAGTGCAGCAGGAACCACAAGCTGAACTAACATTTTTTGCACTGCTTCAGTGTCAACATATTACTCAAGTAGTCATGGCCAAGTTTAATGAATCTCTCCTTGCTTAATATTGTTGCCTTCATTCTTATGAGATCAGGTAACCTGTAAAAAGGAAAGTGGATTTTGAGTAATAAAGTCATGTTAGAGATACTGTAAGTAAAAGGCTTAATAACACAGGGGGAAAGGACAAAAGAAAACAAATTAGATGACTTACAAAATTTTAATACAGGGGGTAAGGACAAAAGAAAACAAATTAGATGACTTACAAAATGTGCTTGCTCTGCCACATTCTTGACCATGATGACTCCTTTGTTCTCAATAAATGTGGGAGATAAAATATGTTTATATTGATATCTGGAAAGACAAACACTAATGAACAAAGAAACCCATACTACAATCAGAAATAAAGACATAAATTCTCGTCCCGTTAAATAGAGATTTCAGTTGAAGTCAACTGCCAAATAATTTACTATCCAGATCTCCAAAATTTTGAGCTTCTTTAAATAGCTGTAGCTGCATTTGAGGAAGAGGGAGGACAATCAGGGCATGGAGAGTGTCAGCAGAACAGGAGATGGAGAATAGGATCTCAGGGTGTGTTGAGAGAAGGAATACAAACTCACTGTTGCATACACATGAACTGGTAACCTCGCCCCAAACTGCCACAATATTTGCTCCTTCACTGGGGTTGAGGAGAATGGCTTTTCTTAGAATGCATCTAGCCCCAATTTAGTTTAAATCTATAACTATCATAAGAAAATTGAAGGCTGCAGGAATCTTTCTGGGTGACTTTGCACTTCTGTTCCATCTGTGCTTTTGCTTCCCCCCAAATTTCGGTAATATTTCATATCTGTGCAAGCTGCAGCAAGGTATCATTTAAAAGTATTTGAAGTTCAACTGGTCAAAAAAAGCCTCTGGAAATCTACAAGCTGCCTTGGACTGGGTTGTAGACGGACAGTTGCCTCCATACTGAGACACAAACAGCTCTGCAGATTCTATGTTAAGGAGCACACATACTCAGGATCATTTTTTATTTCTGTAATCCACCTCCATTACCTGTAATATACTGGATGTATTTTTTGTGAAGTTTCATGAATGAAGAGGACAGTTTTGCATACATGTCTCCAAGAAAAAAAAGTATAATTAGGTGCATAAAACAATTCTTAAGTGCTTTACAGCAGCAAAAGGAATGACCGAGAACACAACATAACAATGTTAACAAAATCAAATGCTTTTGTTTCTATACAAAAAGAGAAAATGAATAAAGATAACATGCACTTCTTTAAAGCACTTCTGATTCTTACATTAAATTCTTGCAGCAGACATTGTTCTAAGTGTACTTAAATACCTCTTTCAACAACAAATGCACTACTTTGATGTGGTGCTCTAATTAGGACTGGTATATATTTTGTTAATAAATAGTCAATGGTAGTCTCATAGCATGTTGCAATTAGGGCTGGTCAAAAAAGATTGCATGATATTTTCTCCCAATTGTCTCTGCCATAGGGAGTCACATTGCACCATAGGAGATGTTCCAGGGTTTGGGCCTTTGTGGAAGTATGGGCACATGAAGGACTCAGAAATATAATTCCCATGAGTCATCTGAGCAGCTCAGTCAGAGGAGGAAATGGATGTTGACCCAAAACTAAACACAAATGTCATAACAAAACCTTTCAACAATTCTGAATCAACTCTTTTCTGAACTTTTCATTCTAGGAAAAGTTTGTATATTACAATGCTTTTATTTAAATATGGGATTGAAAACAAAATGTGGAATACTTGAATTTACCATGGGATGGAAATTGTTTTTGATCAGCTACTGTTGCAAAGGACCACTTACACTACCAGATTTGTCTTTCTTCTGTCTCCATTTATGCTTGCTTTTGTTGGCAAAGCAGTGTGCTACAGTTTAAGTAAATACATAGGATTCAACTAAATAAAAGTAATGCGATCATGGATGAAGGTTTCCACTCCACCACAAGCTCACAGTTCAGTCTAAAGGCTTGTTTAGTCGTGAACATTAATCCAGAATATAGTGGGTTTCGATTACAGGGATTAACTGCACCTATAGACACACTTTATTTCAAATTAGTTTAGCCCATTTCCAAGGAAATAGTAATTAATAAAGAATTTCAGAATTTCTTCCCATGTACACAAGTTCTAGAATTCTGAATTTACATAGAGCCGTAGTCATGGCAATGCCTTCCACATGAGTGCAGAGTTCCAAATGCAGGATCAGGGCCTAAATATGTAAGTAATATATTTGATAGTACATGCTTCTGAGATGAATATTCTTCTATGATGTAATGACCATGTCAAAAAATTAAGGAATGGCCATTCCTGTGCATTTTCTTGTTCTTGCTGCCTTAATTTTAATATTTGTGTGCAATGATAATTGCTGTTTTAGTAGATGTTTTTAAGACAGTATAGTTTCTTTTAATAAAAAAGTGTTAGCATCTGGCAACCACACCTTGATTCATTCTAGCCTCCAGAGTCACGGTGTGGTGCATTAATTTTTCAGTTTGTAATTTGCCAGCTGCATTTAATGGAACCAATTTTCATTACATCTGTTCTATGGTTCAAAGAACTCTTTTAGTGCCAAAGGGGGCCAGCTTCACACGGATTCAGTGAGGGTGCTAATACACTGTTTCTTGAAGTATTAGATAACTAGGGATGGTTCCAGTTTTATAGCAAACAGATTATTTTTAAATAGGCAACTTCTTTATTCACAACTTACCACTATTAAGCTTCAAATTAAAAGTGTAGTAAGTCTCTTCATCAGAAACCACATATTGATTTTCATGTCATTTTCTTCATAAAACTTACTGACTGCTTATCTTTTCAGTCTCAGTATGTTTAGTCCTTACTAGTTAAAGGAAACACTGTTATACCTGAATACTCTGATTTAAAATTTAAAAAAAATAGTTTAGAAGACTTTTTCATTGGAAAAGAAAAGGATACAGAAAATAGCTCTGTGTAATATTCATTGTTACAGTGGGTGACTTGCTTTGCCAGGACATCTTTGCATCATTTTAATCTTCATAAAATGTATAGTCGTTGTATAGTGTTAAATGCAAGTTTCCAATTGACAGCAGCTTTCAATGAAAAGATTTTTCCTCATGGGCCGAAGAAAATTTGAAATGTTCTACTGCACTTTGAAGTTCTAAAGCATCAGCCATATGAGAATTATAAAGCATTAATCCAGAAGAATTTCCACCTGACAGTCATGAAATAGCATACCTGTGTGAAAAGTGACTCTGTTTTACTTCCTCAGGCAATGTCTTTTTTTCCCCACAGCTTCAGAAATATCATGCATTATGTCATATTGAGAAGATGGCCTTGGAATGACTAGATCCTTTTGAAATCACTGAAGTCTACAGTATTACTATATTTATCTAAGAAGTTTCAATGACATTTATAAAAGCTGTTTATACTGGGAGCTTTATTCTAGTTTGACTAGGTATGTGATGCTTGCCCCAGAAATACAATCTAGTTCTTACTTTTACTCTCTCATCTTAAATAATAGGTCTTGTTCAGATCCTCCCTCCCACAAAAAAAAAAGAAGAAAGTGTGGGATGGATGTAGGTTGCTCATGTAATGCTAAAATACTATAATTAAGATAAAATGTGTATGCTATATGTGTTCAACACTGTCACATGTGCTAGTTGACTTGATTCTATGCAGTTTAAAATATATGGAGGTCTCCTTTGGCTTCACTTGGATCAGGCCCTTTGATGAGATTTTCATCTAAGGAAATGGTTTTCTCTCTCTCTTTTTTTTTTTTAAGTGAATCTTCATTTTTCTGAAGGACAAAAGAATACATTTTCTGAGCCTCTTTTCTTTGACTTTCATAATACCTATTGTGGTTTCGAGCAATATTTGAGGGTTCCTTGTCAGTCTTTCTTTAAAAGCTATACTTTATTGCAGTTGCTTCTCCCTTGAAGAGATTTTTATAGGCAAGCCCAAAGATAAATTGAGCTGTGTCTTTAACAATAACAAGCAGAATAATTCATTCAAATTCCTTGTGAAATTAGGAAGAAAACACAAAATCGTGACTGTAAAGTAATTGCTTGAGCACTAACATAGGAAAGTTATGCTTATGCATTTCAGCAATATGCTGAAAGCGGCAAGAGACCTCTCCCACAGTATGAGCAAGATCAATCACAAGTTCACAGTCTACCTTCCCTGTGGGCTTTAGATTGGTCACTTTGTTCAAACATCCAGAAGTCCATTTTACAAGCTTTGTAGCCCTGTCAGTTTTGGATACTAAAAATGCAATCTGTCTTCCAAATAAGAGAAAAAAATCCAAACGTCTATGAGGCTTCTAATCTCTTGTCTTTTCTCATTACATGGAAGGAAGAGAAGAAAGGAAGCCTTAGCAGTTTTTAAACATTCTGGCAAACAGCAGGACAGTGGTGGTTTTTTTCTTCAAGTTTATTTTATGTGCCAAGCTAATGATCACATTTACATTTTTCAAAAGTAAAAATAAATCTTGCAGTGGGGGTGATATTTTTGTGGCTGAAGCTAAAAGAATAGGAATTCAACATTATAAGGTAATGTTACAGAGACTCCTATGAAGAATAATTGAAGGGGGGAGAGAGAAATATCATTCCAAAGCTATATTTCAGTTGAAAGGTTCTGCTTTCTCAAAGTTTAAAAAAGATGGAACAGCACAGGGATTGTGGTAAAAGAACAACAGAGCCTTAGTCTTGGAATCAGGACAGCATAATTATCTCTATATTACTTCATAATGTATAAAGATACAATATTTGTATTCATTTTAAATTAAAACACATTGTAAAAGAAACAGCTGGAGGTGTCTATTACCCAATTCATTGAAGGAACTGAAGGCAGACATGGAAGGGAATGATTACAATATATACATGTAGAAAGACACAAGAGTATTAGGATGTAATACATCATCCGAGCTTTCTTTTATGAGAACATAATCTTCTCCTCTCAATAGTATATACTCATACTTTTTGGGGGGGTTCTTAATCACCATGGAACTCTATTTAGAAATATTTGGGAACTTGTAGATTGTACATAATTCATTTCAGAGCATTTTTATGGAAAAGAAGAAAAACATTTACTATGCATATTAATGAAATATATGTAGCAGTTTTTATGCACGTGGGTGTTTTGTTGATATTAATCCTATGTAAAAATTGAAGGAAAATTAGCTTACTTACTCAGTTCATTTACTAACAGAATTATGAGTACTGTATATGTCTTTCCCATTCTACTACTGAACAAAGTCCGCACACTTTAGTAGACCCAAAACACTGAACCCTCTCTTTCCTAAGTTGTCATTATTAGCAAAAAAGATTCGTAATAAGTCATTTCAAACCTCCTCCACCGATTTTGGTATTCCTAAAGTTTCTCTCTCAAGACTACTTAGTCCACATCCTGCATATTTCCTCCTACAAAGCATCACTCGCACTTCCCTTATGGCTAGGTCATATAACCAGACATCTGCCTCAGTAAGTCAGGAAAAACCATGTAACCCTATCCCAGCAGAATCAATAGCTACTAACAGATTAGGTTTTTTCACGCTGGCAGTGTCATTCTGTTACAGGTTCTTAAAGAAAACAGCTACATTCTGCACCCTTCCTCACATTTTGTAGGACTTTTTCTCATGGGTTGTCTCATTCTCTCACTGAAATCAAAGGGACTTCACACAGAATAAGGTAACACTCAGCATTAATAAGGGTGGCAGAATCTGGCCTGTAGGTGTTTCTGCACTGAATTTTGCCACTCAGATATGCAAGTGGTATAATAAAGTCCATCTAAATCCCAGTCTCTATTCAGTCTGTAAACACTCCCTAAAAATATTATTCAAATAAAAACATCATTCTAAAATATCAAACTGTAAAGAGCTGTTTGCTTTTGTACTATTGTGATTGTCCTTTTCATCATCGCTTCTATTAAAAAATTTGATATTCTAAACTGGCAGCATAATTTCAAAAATAATAATGAGATGTATATATTTCAATTGTTTTTCCAATACAGGAGTCCTTGGGTATGATTTCAAGGTATTTTAGACTTGAAAGCCTAGTGCTAAATTTTTGCTCTGTTCAAGATTTAATGATATATAGGTATTCTTAGTACACTAGCCTACAAAAATATCTACCTATGAAATGTGTAAGTTGTGGGAGGCCATGACTCTTTGCTCTGTGTAAGACCTGCCTATTCAGAGAGAGAAAGTTGCCTGCTGAGGATGCCAAAAGGAGAAGAGGTAGAGGAACTGGCAGAGGAGAGAGCATGCTGAAGCACTGTACAGGTGTTTTAAGTAGATGACCTTTCATTTCCTGTTTGTTACTAATTGTCCTTAATCCTCTCCCTCATTCTATTCTGAGATTTGCATAATTAGGTCTGGAGTAATGTCTCTTTACAACCAATCATAGTCATCAGGAGAACAACTACTCTTCATAATGTAATGTAAAGAGCATGCTTAACTGAGTGGCAATTCCTCCGAATCTGTGATCAGGACTGTTGATAATGTTGTTTACTTGCTTACAGTCAGTCAGGTTTTTTTTTTGTTTTTTTTTTACTGTAAACCAGTAATTTAGTCCAGGAATAAAAAGGTTCCATAGTCTGCCAATCTCAAAGAAAATGTCTGGGGCAACATTGGTACATTTATATTGTGCAGAAGGTGTGCTCTGAGTTACACCACTGAAGCTGTTGTCTCAGGCTTTGTCTATACTGCAGGGTTTTTGCTCAAGAAGTTTTTTGCGGAAGAGATCTTCCGCAAAAGATTTTTGCAAAAAAGTGCGTCCACACCTCAAAAGCGCATGGCAAAGGCAATGTGCTTTTGCGCAAGAGTGTCCACATTGCATGGACACGCTTGTGCAAGAAAGTTCTGATTACCCTTCACAGAATGGCCATTAGAGCACCTGTACTTTCTCTGATAGGGTCTTTTTGCACAAGAAACCCATGTTGAGTGTTCTTGCGCAAAAAGGAGTTATTCCTTGCTAGAAAGAGATATACCTACACAGCAAAAAGCCCTCTGTTCTGCCATTTTACTGCACATTTTCTTGCACAAAAATGCATTTGAAGTGTGGATGCTCTGCAGGTTTTTGCACAAAATCAGTTGTTTTTGCACAAAAACCTGGTAGTGTAGACATTGCCTTACAGTCTACCTCAGGGGTCAGCAACCTTTAGCATGCTGCCCATCATGGC